TTGTAAACTTGCTTTTATCTCATAATAGCAATATTATTTTTGGCATTTCATTAATATTAATCTATGCTATCACTGTTGAAAGCTGCCAAGTATCAATCAGTCCCTCAGTGTTGCACATTGGAACTCAATGATGGACATGTTTCAGGAACTTTGAATTACCCTTAGTCAAGTAGGACCCAAATGAACTCAGCCTGTCTGCACAGTGTGACATTTCCATGAGTCCTGACCCTGGCTCATGTGTACTGGCCCACTGGCAGCCAGGTCAGGGTGGCCTTGGCAACTTTTGTGTGTCACGTTGGTTTGGACCTTGACCTGGAACTGTCCAAGCACTGCCCAGGTCTTGCCTGGACCTAAGACAAAGCTTCTTGAGCTTGAGGTCCCATAACTTTTCTCCTGGATTGAGCATCACCAGCAGACGTGGGAGCTGAAATTCCCTTTGGGGACTGGCTCTTCAGACCTACCAGCACCAGAACAGTTCAAACCTCCGAGGTAACTCTGAGCTTCTGTGGTTGGCTTCCCATGGGACTCTACTACTAATGAGTCCTGTGACCTTGGGAAGGGGATCAACTCAGCCTCAGTTTTTTCCTCTGTGAAATGGAGAGAATAACTGCACTCCAGCCTCACTCACAAAGTTGGAAAGATCAAATGAGACAATGCAGGTAAAAGTGCTTCGTAAACCACAGTGCATCAGGCAAACCTATGTTACACTTGACAATCGACCTCCCGACGTAGTGCGATGACAAGGTGCTCACTCGAGCTTCTCTTGTTCTCCCAGACAGAGTGGACTCATCGGCTGCATGAGCTTCGGGGTGAAGTCCCTCCTGACTCCGGACAAGGTGGGTCCTAGGGAAGCTTCTGGCAGGGTCAGGCCACCTAGGCCAGGGCTGGTACAGGCAGAGGCCTTTGTCTGGAAGCCCTGAGGCGGGGCTTCAGTCTGTGAGATGGTGCCCCACTGAGACAGGTGCCCCCTGGCCTGATAACAACACTGTTACTGGTGTAACCAAGGGTCTGGGTTCCTGCCTTGCTCATTCTTGTCAGAGACCAGTTGTTAGGCGGCTCCAAGTCTTCCCAGAAGGCTCTAGGTCTGGTGTCTTCCCTTAAGGACACAGGCAGGTCCCTCAGAGCTCAGAGCACTCCCTGCCCTGGAGGATGAGGGACGGGTGCTTCTCGTGGTCTGTTCCAGGGGTTGCCTTGACGTTGTTTGCCAGGTCTCAGGTTTCTGGGCCTAGCAGGTGCTCAGGGATGGAGTGGGAATCCTCTGTGGAGCTTTTCTTCAGGCTGGGTGAGGACTCTGGGACCTAGAGGCCCCTCCGTCTGGGTGGCCAGACCCTTACACAGCTCTACTTGGATGGCACTCCCCGCATTGGAGGCTTTTGAGCAGGGGAGGGATGTGCGCCTCTTGCATATCCCTGGAGATGTTCTGGTGGCCTGCTGCAAGGAGTTGGCTCTGTGTCCTGGAAGTGAAGTCTGGGGTAGGTGGCTGAGGACCCTTTATCCTACATGTGGGTCCCAACTATCTTGTCTTGACTGCAGTCTTGGCCTTATTCCCTCTTGGGAGAAGATGTCTGCCCCTGGGGACTGCTCAGGGGCCTCAGGATGCCTGCTTTCTGGCCTCTCCCTCCCTCCCTCCCTCCCTTCTGTTCTGTCAACATTTATTGGGCTCCTGCTGTGTACCAGGCACAGTGCTAGGCACATCAAGGAGCCTGTGCACAGCCTCGTGGGGGAGGCAAGCCTGTGAGTAGACTTGTTCTCCAGGGACGAGAGGCGTGGGAAGTTGGCAGAGGGGAGGATCAGCTCTGCCTGGAGCATCAAGGAGGGCTTCCTGGAGGTGGGAGGGGAGGGTTCGGGGAAGGGAGACTGGAGTGTGTGTGTCTGCAGAGACGCTGCTCCTGAGGAGGCTGTCCAGCTGCTGCTTTTTGACGGGGATTGGTGGCTGCCTGACCTGTGCCCTCTGCCTCCTCTGAGCATGTCACGCCTTTTCTTGTGACAGGAGACCAGCGGCTGGTACTACCTGCTGGGCGAGGACCTGGGCTGGACCAAGCACCTGAAGGTGGCCAGGCGGACACTGCGGCCCCTGAGAGGTGCGTGCCCACCACCTTCAGTTCTGCCCAGACATGCCGACCCCCAGGGCTCCCCCCACTCCACTGCGTAGTAGCCTCAGTCCCTGTGTTTTGTGGCATGTGTCACCCTAGGCTGCCATCAGACCCTGGGTCCAGGGACTTCTCACGAGTGCTTGCTAGAATGCAGCCTGCAGGCAGCCTCATGCCCATGACTCCTTTATTTATCTAGCTCATGGAGGGCTGGGCTTTTGGACCTTCCCGTGTGGCCATTCCTCAGGGTCTGTGGTCTCAGGATCCCCTCTGGGCTGCCTGGCTGATCTTGGGGCGCCCACCTCTGCAGACAGGCCATGTGGGCCCTGCTGTGGGTCCTGAGGATTTTCCCCTTCTGCTCTGTCCTTCCCACGCACCCATCTGGCACCTGAGCCCCTGCCTGGCCCAAGCCTGGGCATTCCCACATCCTGGGGGCCAGCAGTGACCTTGTTCTCCACATGGGTCTGGCACCCTGGCCTCATCCTCTGGGTGGTCTGTGGAACAGGCACTTAGATGCCAGCAGAAACTTTCTGACTCTGCTCTGTCACCTTCCAGACCCTTTGTTGAGACTGTTGGGAGGTGAGGACACCGAGAACAGGGAGAAACTCAAGGTAGGTGGGGACAACCTGGGCAGGACTGACGGGCCCTGAGCACTGCTCTGGGCTCTAACCTGCTTCTGGTCAGTCCCTTGGCCCAGGAGACCCCTAACCAGGGCAGCATTCGGTGACTGAGACTCAGATTCACTTGGTGCTTGGCAACTCAGCAAGTTGTGCATTTTTAAGAGGTTATTTCTGGTGCTTTTCTCGGGTTACTCAAGCTTGGGGCAGGAGTGGGGAGAGAGCCGGGCCCCGGCCCCTGGAAATAGAGGAGTCTGGGTTGTACTGACTTTCGGTCTCTTGAAGCCGAGTCCTCCCTTTCCTGCAGGCCCCCTCAGGCCCCTTGCCTCCCCTGCCACTGTGGCCCAGTTCCCCTTCAGGTGTGGCCCCCGTGATATCAGGGAGCAGCTGTGAGTCTGAGCCCGAGACCGATGGGTCCTCACTTCATTAGGGCTTTGAAGCTAGAGAGGAAACTTCCTATAGGGATTTTGGGGAATTCATCCAAATTTGTCCCTTTGCAGGCCATGGCAGGTGATCTCTGGTTTTCTCTAACCACTAAGAGAGGGAGAAACAAGCCCCCAGTGCTGAGTAGCCCCTCAGTTGTTATGTAACATGACCCTCACTCCCACCTCTGAGGTGGTTGTTACTACCCGTTTCACAGATGAGTGAGACTTGTAAGGTTCAGAGATGTTAGGTCACTCTCTGTGGCCACACAGCCAGCAAATATGGCTTCAGGTATGGCTGTCTCCTGCAAGTGGCCTAGTTGGGAAAATATGACAGTGATATTTTCCATGATAATATATGGCACCTAGGTGTATTATTAGCTTCAAGACATTTCCCCTTTCATTCACTCAAGTCATTCACTCATTCATTCATTAAGTATTTATTGAACGTCTACCTGGGCTAGGCCTTGTGCCGGGTGCCAGGATATAGCTGTCAAAGATCCCTGCCCACACAGAGCGTACAGGCTAGGGCTGCACTGCCCATTATGGCAGCCACTAGCCACCGGTGGCTACTGAGCATTCGAAATTGTGGCTAGTATGAACGAGGACCTGAATTTTAAATTTTATTTTAAAATATAAATTGCGCCTGTGTCTAATCACTACCATATTGGATAGTACAGTATTAGAGTAACTTGCTGGATCTCTGTTTTCCGTGGCTTCATTACAAGTTTAAAAGCTTTCTTCCAGCTTCAGTGGGGGAGCTGCAAAGGCCTTTCTCCCTCTCTGTGTACATGCCGAGCACCGAGAGCATAGTGACCAGGGAGTCTCCCTGGGAATTTGTGAGAATTGCCCGGACATCAACACTGCAGGTTTCTAGGTGGCCTGGGAGAGTCCTACTTCGTGCTGGGCTCTGCACACAGGCCCTGACCTCTGGGGGCATTGTTCTGAGGCGCGTTTGATTTTCCTCGGCTTGTACACGCAGAGATGTCCGTAGGACTCAGCAAGGTGTGGGTGATTGTCAGAGGCTTGGTTAGGGCAGGGGGAGAACCCCGAGAGGTGACCTGTTCAACTCCCTCTTCGTGTGCATGGAGGGATGGAGGCTTAGAAACCTGGGTGGCCTGACCACTGTCACAGTAACGAAAGCTGGGCTGGACCAAGGGACACTCTCTGGCATGAAGGTTGTGAGTGGCTGGGTAGTTTTCCTCAGGGGCTCTGAGGTTGGTGGAAGGGGCTCTAGGCTCACCAGGCACTGCTCTACAAGGCAGGAACCAAGACTGGGGCCCTGGTCCCAGCTCCACCCCACCCTGCTGTGTGATCTCAACTGCTCAAGGCCCCCACTTCTTCACCAGTAGAAAGAGGACGCTGGATGATCTAGTGACTGGAAATCCCTTCCCAACTTGGCTTTATGGTCTGTCATCAGATCCTTCAAGCAGCCCACGTACATGGATGAGGAAACTCACTTTTAAGTAGCTTCTGAGTGGCAGGCAAACTCCAGATGTTTTGTATTCCCTGTCTTGACGTGGGATGTCTGTGGGTGCAAAGCATCCTTAGGTTCTTAGGCTGAGTTAGTTCCCTGCATTTGTACCAGGGATCCTGGGATTTGCAGGGGGCGGCGGCGTTGTTACAGAGTGGGCCGTGTTTTCTGCCTGGGTTCTCCTCTAGCCAGGGGTGTTTGTGAGAACACTGGAATCACAGAGTGGCCCATGGCGGAGAATGCAGCCAGAACAAAGGCGCCCTCTCCCCGCCGGGGCCCGGGGAATACTAACTAGTTGACAGGAATTTTAATATAAAACTCTCCCTCTTCCTTGTCATTCGGAGGTTTCAGGAAGCCTTCGGGCTTATCGTGCAGAGGCACACAGCACAGACAGGGCTTGGGGAGGTGAGAGGTGATTTCCTGCCATTCTTCTGCGGGGCGGGCTTCCCAGGGCGGTCATGCCAGGCTGACGGGGCGCAGTGCGGGCTCCCACTGCTGGGGGGGAGAGCCGGGTTTTCATGGGGCGGCAGTCGAGGCAGGACCCGCAGCCATGAACCGCTTCAATGGGCTCTGCAAGGTGTGTTCGGAGCGACGCTACCGCCAGGTGGGTGCTTGGCCCCTTGGGGGGCGCATGGGGTGTCATTGGGGGTCAGGGGTGTGGGCTCACCGAGCAGGACTTGTCTTCCCACAAGGCCTTTCTTGCCTCCTCCTGGCCCCTTGCAGGTTCACTGTGATCTAGGGGGGCGGATAGAGGCAGGAACTGGCCCCAAGGTGGCCTTTACCTGCCGCCCCTCTAGGGGCAGACGAGGCCAGCTCTTCACCATCCTAACCACTGACTGGGTGGTGTCCATGGTGAGATTATCTAGTTGATTTTCTGTCATTTTTATTTGGGAGGAGTGTGGGTTAAAAAGAGCATCCCAAGCCTGAGATTGTAAGTGGCTAGGTTGCTGAGCAGCTGGATTTGTGTCTTTTTGCTAACTTTCCCTA